TCTTCAAAGCCTTCCCTTTTCAGTCATTTTACTCGGAACACTTGAGGGCGGGCAGGAACTCGGGAGACCCAAATGTTTGTGTGCAAGCTCTTCAAAAGTCGATTTTTCGTAAATGTGTGTAATTGGTGTCACAAGACGTACAAGTCGATGTACGATGGAATATTGAATGTGACTTTAAAGGGACACGTGATGGAAAATTGGTGGCGACCATCTGACCCTGGAACAGATTCATTTGATTTCCTTTTGATTCATTTTCTAGGGAAACGTGTTCAATGTCAGGTGTGCCACTGTCGTTGATACTTTTTGGGTTTTTCTAATCAAATAACCCTTTTAATTCTGTGACTGAAGAGAAAATATGTCCAAGTAACATTGATGGAGCTCATGATAGTATGGGAGAGAAACCTTATGAGAACATCATAATAAACATAATATTAAAGCATGCACACGCGAGCCACTCAGGGCAGCGCTGGCGTCACGCTGTGAAATATGGATTGGCGATGCTATGATGTGCTCTGCTGGAGTGGAGCAGAGGCGGGGGGGTTGGGGGGGGGGGGGGGGGGGGGGGGGGGGGCACGGAGTATTTGTGCCTCTGTGTCTTATCGAGAGAGAGGCCGCAGGCTAAAATCTGACCCTCCTTGATGATGACTGTTTCTGAAAAGTCCATACGTTAAAAATTCTGATTCTGATTTGTCTTCAAAGTAGGAATTGCATCCACCTTAAAAAAAAAAAAAAAACAGAAATGTGTGAAATGTGAAACTGAGATGCCCGGAGATAAAATGAACTGAGTTTTATCATGATTAATATATAACAGCGTGGCGTTCCCATCCCCCCTCGTATTTTCTTTTCTCTGCATGATCTCGCCTTGGATCTTCTTGCAGAGAGAAAATTATATATTTCAGTATCGATAAGTGTTTTGGGGCTCAGGAAAAAAAAAAGTTAAAGCCTTCCTGTGGTGTAGGAGCCGCGCAGTCTTTTTATGAGTTCAAATCAGTTGCGGAATGGCGATGCTCATTACAGTTTCTGATTGGAGATTACAATAATATGATTCATGGTGCACTCTGTTCTTAACGTGAATGCAATTTGGATTTTGTGTTCTGCTCCCTTCCCCCAGCGTTAGCACAAAAATGTAAATGTGCCACAATGTCAGTGAATTTCAAAGTAAAACCTTGAAGTATGTCGGCTCCCTCTAGTGGTACACGAAAGAGTCAAATTACTGTTACATTGTTGGGGGTTTTAGATTCAACACATTTGGGTATAATCTTTAAGAAGGTGGGTATTTTTTGTTTTTAAAACATTTATTTTGGACGTCACTTGACGTGACCGAGCAAGATGATATGATTTAATGGATGACTTGCTTCACCCAAGTAATGACTGCGCTCGATTTGCTTGAAAAGTTTTGATTTAGAAATGAATCCGAAACATGGCGACCACAGATACAGACGATTCCCGTATCATGTGGTGACTGACAAATAAATCTTCGCTTCATGCTTGGGCTCCTCATTTACTCTATGCCCCAGTCTCAGTTGTTCAGTCAAGCTAATCTGCAGCAGCAGCAGCAGCAGCAGCAGGCAAGCAGCGGGCAGCTTTTTTTCACTGGTCCAATGATGCATGGCAGAGTGACAAGCAGGACATAATCTTTCTCAGGAGGTGCTGAAGGCCCAACTGGATGGAGGCTAAATGGAGAAACATTCAACAGCAAATAAAGCAGCACTCTCTCTTTTGGGACGTTCAATTCAAACGTTGGTGTGGCTGTAGGAATTTACGACAAGCAAGTAAACAACAACACTTGTGTCGCCATTTGAGCCCCCCGCCCCACAAAAAAAAAAAAAAAAAATCAACTAATGACATCATCTCATATACATAAACCTCAACTATTGCGCATAACAACACTGGGCCACATGAACATTTTTTTTTCCAGGAACAGAACTGCAGGTCCCTTGAAATTCTGGTGAAAATGTGAATTTCAGGAGGCATTGTTCATAGCAAAATGATTCTTCAATCTGGAGCGCAGTTTTAATTTTGCTGACGGCTAATTTAATTGACCAAACTGCCTCGTCCACTGTCTGAACCAGAAGAATTAAACTGTCTTAAAATATTTTGGTCCCTTTCATTCCGCGTCATGTAACTACGCAGTATTGTGTGAATGCAGAGATTAAACTGCGGTAACAAAAAAAGCCTTCAACGTCTCACAAATGACCTTTTCTCAATGGACTGGAACTCAATGACAAAAGTGGACAAAAAAACCCAAAACGTGGCTCATTTGACATGAGGGAACTCTTCATTCCACCAGGAATGTATCATCTGCAATTCCCGAGGCTATTATGCGGCGCAACAACAGGATGATGTTTATGCCGCGTGGCAATTACGGTGCCATGTTTGTCCAATGTATCAGCATGCGCTTGCGTAGCTGCATGCGCACTGAAATATGAAAAATGAACACCCAAGGGAAAGTCTCTGAAGGCCGTTATTAAAAAGCAGTGTACATATATGATCCAAGCGGATCCCGTTTCTGACATACATGTTTCATCACAGCCCGCGTGTCTCAGCGTGTTACATGCGTGCGGGCGTGCTGTCAACTGACATTGACTTCACAGCCTGTAAAAATAATTCAGATGGGGAAGTACGACTTCTTTCGCTGACCTTCTTTTTAACCAGCATTTAAGATCCGTTCTTTCATCTATTTCATTATTCGTCATTGTTGAATTGATGGCAGCTGTTCCACACGTGCTGTTTACATATGCAAAAAAAAAAAAAAACACGGATCCTGTGAAGTCAATTCAGAAACCGTTATACAGTACTTATCAATCATCTTTAAACATGCCAGACACGATGGGAATGCTTGGGTGCATATTTAAAGCTCTGGGAAGTTGTCAGTAGCCTCACAGTATCTTCATTTGTTCGCGTTGATCATTTATGGCTGAATTGCATCCAACTACTGTATCCGCTGTATTAAAATTCTCTTCCAAATTGGGTGTGAATGCTGCGGGATGCTGTTGGGAATATGAATGAAAGGAAGTGATAGACAACAATAGCACAAGGGAGAGAGAGAGAGAGAAAAAAAAGAGTCTGTTCTTTGTCTTTTTGGGAGGCAAAGAACAAACCAACGGGGGAGGGAAAAACACGTCAGAGCGACTTGTGATGCAATATAGTGGTGAACTTTGCTGAGCGGTAATTGGAAGCATTCAGCAAATCGCTGACTGCATCATTTGCATACCGAAGTTGGACAGTCAGTTTGACTTTTAGAGAGTTGCAGATGTTTTTTTTTTTTTTTTTTGTTCCCGCCGACTTTGCACAGTAAAGCTAATGCATGCATGACTTTCTTTCTTCTCGCGGAGGTGGAGGAATTGCTGACAAAAGCTTTCGTACGAATGCAATTTTATTTGTCTCTGAGACTCTTTTGCACCTAATCTGTGAGTCGTAGCGGCATTTGTCAAATGTGTAATACGCACATGCTCACCAAAAACATAAAAATAAAAAATGTAAATATAATACGGTAATTATTTCCACAATCAATGTTACTTCGGGAAAGCCTCACCGAAAACGACAGTTGGACAAACATGAACAAAACCAGTACAATATGCCTGTATGCACTACTGAATAATTCTCCGGAATATTAACAAATATAATGGGGGAAAAAAAGTAAGTCGATGTTCATCAGAATAGTCAGCAAGCTTCCTCTGCCAACACGCATTACCCTCTGCTCGCCCTCTCCAGCTGAGTTTGTTCGGCACTTTTAAAGCAGTCACTGAATGTTATCATGGAAAACCAGCCCCATTGTTAAATTGCTTGGAATATCTTGACTCAGCATGTTCCAGACGAAAAGAAAAAAAGCGATTTTGGAATATCTTGACTCAGCATGTTCCAGACGAAAAAAAAAAAGAAAAAAAGCGATCGCTGTGTATCGCTACTTCCTTTACTTCAAAGCACCAAGTGAGTACATTTCTTGTTCAGTGGGGCTTTTAATGTCAGCCATGCGCTCGTTTATTTGAGCTTTCCTTGTCGATTTTGCTTTTAGCTGAAGAATAACCTCGGCCATCACACCGTGATTCATAAATGCCGCAAAAATCAATTGAGCCTGCTGAGTCTGTGCCGGTTTCAACGTCTGGTGACCCATTGCACATATTAGAAAAAACTCTTTCCTATTTTCACGATTAGATATTGCGCTAGTCTTCACTGTTTATGTGCCATTGTGCATGTCACTAATGTCCATCGATCGGTCGGTCAATCTTTATCTATCTAGCTAGCTAGCTATAGCTGGATAGCTAGCTATTCGAGCTCCTATTGGCTGGTTTCCTTGGAAAAGTATGTGATCAGCATATGTCGATCAATGGCTTTAATTGCCAACCCTCCCCCCCAAAAAAAAATAATTATAGCGTTCCTTCCCCCTTTTCATGAATACTTCACGTTACAGACCAAACCAGCCACTGAATCATAATGTATGTTTGTACATTTTCTTCACTGTCAACTTGGAATAAAGCCCTTGTTTTGTATCATAAAAGGATGGAAATTTCGATTTAAAAAAAAAATCTGATTAATCAATTAAATGAAAAATAGTTGATGGATGAACTGATTATTAAAATAATCTTTCGTGAGTAGCTCTAAAATTGACAAGAATGCTTCACAGTCATCGATGTACAGTATCACTTCATAATAATTCCTTGACACCAAATTAGTATTTTCCTATTCACCAGGGATTTGGAGCCATCTTCTGGCATTTTAGAGTACTACAGAAAGAGCACAAATCGTTTTTCAGTAAATGGCTGAGTATACAGAGGGTTCACAAAAGAAAACAAAAAAAATTACAAGAGGTAAATTAGTGAATATAGCGAACTGAGGTTTGCGGGTTTTGTGAGATTTTTCATTGACAACAATCACAGCTGAGGTCGGCATCTTTCTGGTTTCACTCTCGGTTGATTTACATATTTTCTTGGAAAAAAACGTGTTCCGGTCTTTCTATTCAACTGACGTTATTGGCTTCTTCTCTTGCCGCTCTCCTCCAGGATCTTCATTCAACAAATCCAGCGACCCGTTCGCCAACACGACGTGCAACGCATCTACAAACGATTCCACGTTCTGCTCCCCGGCGGACGACGGCTCGGGAGCTGCAAGTTCGTACAAGGCGGTCGAGATGTTTTTCATCGCCCTGGTCACTGGCTCGCTGAGTCTCGTGACCGTCACGGGGAACATTTTAGTCATGCTGTCCATCAAAGTCAACCGCCACTTGCAAACTGTCAACAACTATTTCTTGTTCTCGTTGGCATGCGCTGACCTGATCATCGGTGTGTTCAGCATGAATTTATACACGGTTTACATCATCGTTGGATACTGGCCCATCGGTCCTGTGGTCTGCGACTTGTGGCTCGCTTTAGATTACGTGGTGTCCAACGCATCAGTGATGAACTTGTTGATTATCAGTTTTGATCGCTACTTCTGCGTCACCAAGCCCCTCACGTACCCGGCGAGAAGGACCACAAAGATGGCGGGCTTGATGATTGCAGCTGCCTGGATCTTATCCTTCATCCTTTGGGCCCCCGCCATCTTGTTCTGGCAATTCATCGTTGGGCAGAGGACAGTACCACCTGGAGAGTGTTACATTCAGGTACACACCAAAAACTTTTTCTTTGGGGGGGGTTGGAGTCCATGAAATCTCCTCGAACAAAATCTGTACATCACAATTCCAAACCAGCATGATCGCAAAATGCAGATGTTGAAGTTCCCGGGAGGATGTGAAAGAAATGTTTAAGAGGAATTCTTGGCAAATTATTTTGCAGACACACATCCAATCCACACACCTGTACAAATCAAGGTTAGAGTCCTCATTAGTCCTAGAAACATGTTGCTGTACAAGAAGACCATGAAAGAAGGTTTTCTTGGAATAAAATTGCAATAACACAAGAAAAAGGCAGACACTTGTAAATGTAGAAAGGAAATGAGCAATGGAATTTTTCTCAAAAATATCAAAATGTATTACTGGTACAACGGTAAAGGTACTTATTTCCCCGAAAATGAATCGCAACTTCTTTGCTTTTCTCCGCTTTGTGAAGTCGGGGTCATGGGGAAATTAAATGATGTTAGCCATGCTAGTTAGCTAGCTGCCTTGGCAGAGAGTCTGGAGAACATTTTTCACCAATTGTAGACACGCTAACTCTCAGAGCTGGTTGCAACCATTCATTTCAAGGTAGCGCTATTGTGATCTATTAGCTTGAATTTGTCCAAGAGTAATGGCTGGCGCTCTCATCAATACCATCTTACTGAACTTCGTGTAAGTGACCAAATATGGGTTAGGGGTGTTGAAGTCCACCTAAAAAATTGCAGCCTCCAACAAGATATCAAAGGCATGACGGAATCCCTTATGAGTTCAATATAGTATCGAGCTAGCGACCAGAGGTGGAACGTTGCTAGCTAAGAACAGAGTGTGAAGTTGAACACAGACGCTCACTTTCCATGGACAAATTAAAAGCAGTTGTTGCGGTCACAGTGAAGTCACCGGCTATCATATTGTGTCAATTGAGCAAACCGCATCGGTTGGACGCAAGATTTTGTAATAGATGTTAGTTCTGGAGCACTCCATTGAGCTGTCACGGCTATTTGGCTATAAACCTTTTCCAGGAAAAAAAAAAAAAAAGTAAAGTTTATTATGTATCCACAAGCTGAACACTATGTCTTTGTGTCTTTTTACAGTTCCTGTCGAACCCTGCGGTGACGTTTGGCACAGCGATAGCGGCATTCTATCTCCCGGTCATAATCATGACCGTGCTGTACATTCACATTTCACTGGCATCCAGGAGCAGGATCTCCAAACATAAACCCGACAAGAAGGAGAAGAAAGGCTCAAAGTAAAATTTTAAATTTGATGAAAAATATAAGAATATCGGTCTGAGATTATTCATCCAACGTCATCTTTTCCAGACCACCCAGCATGACGAAGAGCCACATGCTAAAACAGAACAACAACAACGAAACCAGTCCTCAGAGCAGCGCCCACATGACTCCCAAGCTCAGTTTAGCCTCGACCACCACCGTTGATGAGGCTGTGAAGAACGGCAGGGTGGCTGCAGCCAAACCAGATGGACCGCAGCCAACGGCCCAACCCAGTCCGGCGCTCACGACGCAGGTTTGTCTGTCTTGTCCATCTAGCTACATTCGCTTACAAACGTTTGGACGCCATTTGCATTTTTGCCAATATTTTATTAGATCTTTTTATCTGACAACATGGAAGAAATGACGCTTGGCCACTATGTAAAGTCATTGCTAGTGACGTGTGCGCGGCTCAACTACAGAATACTTGATTAATTGTTAATTGGGTGTTTCTGGACATTTCATTTGGTCCAAACGAGTAAAAAGGTTGAATTGTCCTGTACCTGTCAGAAGAAGGCTCAAGGATCAGGACAGCTGAACGATATGGCAAGAAGTCAAAATGTTTTCTTTGAACAATTCTCTCCCACGTGAAGAAAGATTTTCTGAACTACTTCTTGCCCATCGTCCTTTTATTGAATGCCAAATGTTTGACTGCCACTGACACGCCGTTAGTTCAAACAGCAGAGCGTGCGAGTGGGTCAGTGAATGCTTGAACTCACTCAGACATCTTTGTCGGCTTGTGCAGTCGAAATCCGTCCGTCGAGCTCGCTGGCTATCTGTCCGTCTCTCACATTTAGGAGGAAAAGGAGAGCTCCAATGATTCGTCCACAGCTTTTATACCCGCAACAGAACCAAAGGCCATTCATGATGTGATACCCGAGGTAAGCGTTTCAGCTTTTTTTTCCTTGAAGAATAGCAAATCTGTAGAAGGTTGGTCGTGATTTACTCCCAAAAGACAAGCTCGATGAGAACCATTTGTATTTATTTATTTGTTTTGTTTTTTTTATTCATTTATTTATTTTTCTTGCCAGGCTCCGACTAATTCCAACCCAGTTCCGGCAAGTCTGACAAATCCTTCCATATCCAAAATCAATGCCAGCTCAAGGTGGTCCAAGATAAAGATCGTAACCAAGCAGGCGGGGGACGAATGCATCACGGCCATCGAGATCGTTCCGCCCGTGGAGGGAGCCGAGAGGCATTCCATCCCAATCAGCCGCCCCAGGACGGTCGCCAGGAAGTTTGCAAGCATCGCTCGGAGCCAAGTGAAGCGAAAACGACAAATGGCCGCCAGAGAAAATTTTTTTTGGGGGGGGGGGGGGACTTAAATGACAGCATTTGAAATAGCACTGAACACCGGTGAGGTAAAATATTTTCCAGCCGTGTCATCTTGCATAGTAGAACAGAGCCAAAGGGAGACAGTAGCAAAATGATCGCAGGCTTTGAGTATTCACGCTACCGGCACACAAGTAATAATGTTCATATTTTGCGAGCACACCGTTGGCCGTAGGCCATTGTCAAGGGAAAAATGGTAACCTTTTAGGAGAAAGGAATCAGGACAAGCACTTAGAAAAATAATGAGAGATATAATTTAATCAAAATGTGCACGGAAGAAGACAGTTCAATTACAAGCTTATGGCTTGCCGGAGAAGCGTCTGACTCAATCCCCGTCGGAGAGGTCGGATATGCAGACGTGAAAAGGGAGTTATCGTTGCAGGGAGAGGAGCAAGTTCTGCTTTCTTTTCCTCGTACTAAAACAAAACATGATATGTGGTCATGATTTAACATACCTTCTATCCATGCAAAGGCGTATATTTTTCTTTGAACCGTCCAGTCATTTTCTTCCTTATACGGCTCCAGAGACTTTGCACCTCTGATCTGGAGTCTGATCCCAACACCTTTTCAACCGGCTGAGAAAGGCCTTAAGAGACGAATGAGGGTCAAAACTTCATGAGGCCTTCAGGACCACCTTGTCAGGACAAGCTCTATGAAGGCGATGGCCTCTCCTCAATTTAGGCTGAAGAATTGGACTTGACTTCCTTCTGTCCATTTGGCCATGTCGTCAATATGCACGCGATGATATGTAAACAGTGCGAGCCGAGCGATGCGTTCTACTTCCCGCTTATTTTGTCACTTCCATTTCTTGTCTCCTGCGCGGATTCACTCGCAAACAATGAGTCGGAGTGATCGTCGCCCACAGCCAAAACCGATTCAGCTCGGGTAAAAGCCTTCGACCGACGGCGCTCGCTAACACTCAACCCGTCTGCCTGACGTTCGATGAGGGCTTTGTATCTCGAGACCTTTCCGCTCTCAATTCGCTGCCGATCGGCTGGTGACCAGTCCAGGGTGCGCACTGGCTCTTGCCCAGAGTTAGCTGGGATAGGCGCTCGTCCGTGACACGTAATGAGGATATGCAGTCGAGAAAATGGATGGATGGGAGGGGAAATAAAATGTTCAATCAGTCGATCAAGTAAAAGTACAGATACCAGTGCAAAAAAAAAAAATACAGAAACAAAAAAAAACAACTATGGTACTCTGGTAAAAGAACTGAGTCAACCCCTTCACTTAAAAAAGAAAACAAAACACGTCATCTATTCTTAAAAAAAAAAAATTCTTATATGGGCCGCAATGCGGTGGAGAAACGAAAGGTTTAAAGACACTTTTTTTTTTTACTTTGGATCTTATGAAAAGTATATTTAAAGTTTTATGTGGTACTCTGTAAAAAAAAAAAAAAAAAAGCAGCTTTTGAATGAACAAAACTTTCTCGGGTCTTCTCCTTACTTTCCTCGAGCCTATTAAATGAAAACAACAGCGGTCGCCTGGGGAGTCGAAATGATTGAAAGCCTTCTTTGCTCTTCGCTCACATTTTATGTCATTATTTTTTGCTCTCCCGTTAGGTGACCAAGACCATCTTTGCCATCTTGCTGGCTTTCATCATTACTTGGACCCCGTATAATGTGATGGTGTTGATCTCCACCTTCTGCCAGTCGTGCGTTCCCGACACCGTGTGGGCCATCGGTTACTGGCTGTGCTACGTCAACTCCACCATCAACCCGGCTTGCTACGCCCTTTGCAATGCCACGTTCAAAAAGACTTTTAAGAACCTGCTGCTGTGCCAATACAAGAACATTGGCACGAGATGAGTGGGCAGGATTGAGGCTACAGGGAGGGGGGGAAAAAAAAGAGAGAGCGGCTCGGGATGGATGGATGGATGGATGGATGGATGGATGGATGGAGGTATTTCAAAGAAGAGCCGCTGAAGACATTTGCAGTGGAGAAGCACATGCGATTTATGTTGCAAATAAAGGAAAACGGTGCCTGCAAGTCCTCCAGTCCCCCCCCCCCCCATCAAATGGACAACATCTCCGGCAGCAGAAAAAATGATCAAATGTGCTATTGGGGGGCGGGGGGGGGGGGCAGGAAGGACAATGAGTGACATCGGTGAACTGGTGGAGGGATACATTTGAATGACAATCCTGATCAATGAGTGAAAAATGCTGAGAGGTAAGACATGCCAAATGGGGAGGTGGGGGGGGGGGGCGCTTGTGGTTGCGTCAATGTATAAATGATCGTGTGGAACGGGATTGATTTGTGTACAGTGGACGGATGGGATCGATGACGACGAGATAATCACATGAGCTGACCAAAGATGTTACGAAGGTTCCCACAATTCGTTTTTTTTTTTTTTGTTTGAGATTTCACTCGATTGTCAGAGATGAGTCACAGATTCTAGTTAACAATCAGTTTTTCTCATGTCTTTATTCGGCTCAAGCCAACTTGGTGGGTGTGAGAGTGGATTGTGGACGACAAAGATGAATTCGATTCTTTTGGGTGATCGGGATGCATAAAGCCTCTCGCCTTAAATTTTAGGTCGGAGAGCGTCCGGCTTCGATGTGACTCCAAACTTGGATAGAAAATGGATCAATGGATGATGGATCCACCAGATTCTAGTTTTCCTGATTACAGCATATTCTGATTCATCAGTTTCGGTAACAAAAAGGGATTCGTTCCATTTCAAGACCCTGTAACGTCAATTCCACATTTACACGTACTTTGAAGATAATTGCCGGAAAACGTGCAAATCCGGAGAGTTACGTAGCGCTAAACCGTAAGCCTCGAAAAATACATCTTCCCCTCAGCATGCATGTCATGGAGGGAAAGTCAGAAGAACAAAGAAGGAGCGAAATATGATTTAAAAAGTCTGACTTGACAGCCAGCGTGCGGCGAGGGGCTTCGGGCTAGCGCGGCTGCTTTAGAGCGCCACGTTGTGGAATAGCCAACGACGACCCGATGGGACAAACAACAACAGCGTGATTATTTTTTATTTTATTTTTTTTTATGTGTGTGTGCGGAGAGTCGGGTAAACTTTTTTTGTTGAAAAGACAATCATGGTTCCCAATCATGTGGGCAGATTTGAAACTTCTCTGCATATAATGTAAATGAATCAGTCCTGCAATGGCAACGCGACGGCTGCTCAGTCTTGCGAATCTGTTAGTGCTGTAGTTGTTGTTCAATTTATGTTCACCGTTTTGTTTACTTGATGCACAAGTCGAGGTCCAGTAGGTGTCAGGTACGTACCCCAACAGGTTAATTATGAGACTCGATGTTTGTACTTTTTCCGGAGCCAAAATGTACAGAACTGCTTTGAGACGAGTGTCGCATTCGTGACAAACCATTTTACCTCGAAAGTTGTTGTTGTTGTTGTTTTTTTTTTCTTTTTCTGACGGTGAAGCATGCTTTTGTCTCAAACTGGCGTGGTAATTGATTTCCAATGTACAGCGCATGCACTTTTTTTATGATCCGACATTGCATTGTGAATTGTGTTCCTCCTTCTCGTCAAAGTAAACAAAGCATCAATAAAGTCGCTGCAAAAAAAAAAAAAAATTCTCTCAAGGATACATGCCTTCATACACTGTTTTCCAAAGTGATCAACATCGACGCTGATATTCAAAATTTTATTCAACAAAAACCACCACAATGACAACAGTATTCATTGATTTATTTATTTGGGCGGCCCGGTGGTCCAGTGCAGAGGTCATGGGTTCAATCCCGGCTCCGGCCTTCCTGTGTGGAGTTTGCATGTTCTCCCCGGGCCTGCGTGGGTTTTCTCCGGGTACTCCGGTTTCCTCCCACGTTCCAAAAACATGCATGGCAGGCTTATTAACCACTCCAAATTGTGAGTGTGAGTGCGGATGGTTGTTCGTCTCTGAGTGCCCTGCGATTGGCTGGCAACCAGTTCAGGGTGTACTCCGCCTACTGCCCGAAGACAGCTGGGATAGGCTCCAGCACACCCGCACACCAGATTCAAGCGTATTTCACATTCATCCTGAAATTTCACCGGGACGCTAAACTGCGTTTTATCAAAATCCAATGAATGATACTGTCGCGACGATGGAAGCGTGCACTCGTCGATCCTGCGGCTTACGCAGGTCCTCCGCGCTTTCCGTCCGTATGTTTGTGGTGTTTGTGCAGAAGGTAATCCCACCGTCAGCGGTTGGAATCTCCCGAAAAGGCTTACAGAGAAAGTCGACTTCAGTGGCAGGTTTCAAAAGCTTTCATTGACACACCGGCTGGATGGATAAACCCCCAACGCTCGCATCCGCCAGATCACTCACGATGAAGACGGGCTGCATGACTGAGTGAATGCTTCCCTGTTTTGTGTTTTTTTTTTTTAACCGACGAATGTGTTCCCTGCTGCTTTCTCCTCTCTTTGAGGAGTGCGAAGACTTTGGTTCCCTTGTTGTCTTTGGCGGATAAATTGCAAACAAAAGCTGCGCAAGGTGGCACGGCTGCGACACTTGCGGAACACCTTTGACTTCTTTTCGAGTCTCTCACCAAACCAAGTTGCAAATTGAGAACTTTGCCTTCTTTCCAATTAATATGCCGCGACAATGCATCCGTTGATCACATGTTGGGTCCTAACTATACGTTTTTAAATATTTAACCAAAAAATGAACAGTGAGACCCTTTAAAGAAAACTGATAAAACGCAGAATGTGTAAATTCATCAAACAACATCGATATAGTCAGCAAAGCTTTGTGAGTGATGGTTAATTTACTCTTACACACACACACACACACACACACACACACACACACACACAAAATCATTGCAGCTTTTGGGAAAACAATTTTTTAAGATGTTTGTCTTTTATGTCATGCTTTTTATGACTTTTTTTTTTTTTTTTAAGACTGGGCTTTTTGCAGCATGTTAGCCAGCATCACCAAATACGACACGTGCTTTGTGAATACTCCATCGGTGGTCCAAATAGAAATATGTAGAAGAAACAACATTACAGTGGTAATAAACAGCCTTTGTTGCACAAGTGTAGCGTGAGTGTGGCTTTGGTGACTTCTTCCCTGTAGTGCTTTGCTTTCATGTCACCTCATGCTGTAACCATGGTGATGCCAATAGAAGCGACACTACACCCCATTCTGGGGTTGATCCAATGAGGAAGAATTCAGAACATCACAGCCGACCTAGATTGGGAATCGGAATGAACCATATGGACCACTTTGCTGACGATTGTCTATTATTGTACAGTATTTATTGATTTTTCGGGTGGCAAGCAAATCAGGGCCCATAGAAAAAATGGTTTCGAAAAAAGTGTTTTGTCCTAGTGTTACACACACACACACACACACACACACACACACACACACACACACACACACACACACTGTTGGGTTTTTTTCAAACCTTCACTCTTAGTCTTCATTAGCAACTCACTTTGTTAGCCATCATCTCTTAATACCGCACAATATCGTTACGTAATCAATTGCAGCACAAGTTAAGTTGCGATTTTTTTTTTGGGGGGGGGCAGGAATTTGGCACAAGGAAACAGAAACAAAGTCACAGTATGGGGGTTCAGTCTCTCTGGCCCTGTGTGAGAGTGAGTGAGGAATTTCCATCTCGGGGTCGGGGGGAGGGGGGGGGGTTGAAGACAGGAAGGAAGGCGCAATCTTATTTGGCCTCATCACTAATCGGTACATCGAAATGTGCCTACTCTGCGCGCAAATGCAACGTACACGCAAAATCACGGTCAGATTTATGACACATGCGCACCAGACGATTTTCTTTTCACCGCCCTGCATATGTTAATACAGTAAATCAAATTAAATTCTGATTGACGGGGTGACGCCCACAATTTGTAGTCTGCATCAAGAGGCGTCGAAATGAGATCAGCGAGGAGGTTTGCAGTTTGCATCAAATGCCCCCCCCCACCCCTAAATTAAAAGGAGCACATTCGCAACAACGGAAATTGAGGGTATCGTGACAGAGGTGAAGCCACACCATGAGGTTTTTTTGACACCTTCAGGCACCTTGACGGGGCCCGTCGTCTCACTTTCCATTCTTCTGGCTCAAAACATCACTTTGTCGCCTTCTTGCTGACGTTGCAGCCTTGTTGGCGCGCGGTGGCCATCCACCAAAGATGCAGAGCTTCATCCATTTGGACCATACCAAGTAGGACAGCGTTCTATGAGAATTTCTCTTCATTTATTTCTGAGAGCACTTTGGAGGTGTCTGCATCTCGAGGTCCTCACGACTTCAGAGACACCAGCAGCTTCTAAAACCTGTTTGCTGCTCACCAGGGATTTTTTTTTTTTTTTTTTTGTGAACGATGTATTAATCCCTAATGCTCCGCGATTGCAACAAACCCTTTTACTTGCTTTTATATAACAGTGTGATGTCCTCTCCAGGTGTCCAGTCTTTCAATTCCTTTTGTAGGGCATCAAGTGTACTCAAGTGTGCTTTTCATCAACGGGATAGATGCTTCCTATTTCTTCATTGTGCATCAAAACTGTGGCTCGCTTAATGACTCAGAATAGCCTCCTGAGGTCATTTCCATTTAATTAGGCTCCCCTGGGACGCTAGTGTTGAAACCTGTTGGAGATTTTGTGGATATGAGTGATCTAAGCAGAGGAGAAACAAGGAAAAGACGTAAGGGGGGAAAAAAAATCCTCAAAGGTTTATTTGACATTAAGTAAATCGTGATTTGGAACACAGTCTACGTAGGCTGTATACTATAAATTCTATCTCGTAAGTAAAATAAATGATTGGATTATTTTTGCAATCTACTCAAAATAAAATAAGGCGTACTTTTTTTTTTTCTTCGTTTCTAATTTGCTCTGCTCTCGAGTCAAGAGTGGTTTGCAAGCACTGTACCACTATACCGCCTACATCTGGGGTGCCCAAAC